CTGATCGATGTTGCCGGAGCAGCGGGCCAGTTGAACTGCCCTCCGAAGAATTCCGCCCATCGTCCAAGACGTTGATGGGTGTTGGTGTTTGGCATCCCGTCATTCTCTTAGGTTGTTTCGCGCACATCAGCCTCCTTGCTGCCAGTGGCTCGGATGAGTTGGAAGAGCTTCCGGTAGTTACCAGGTGCAGCTGCTGCTTCCAGCTCATTAGTACGCTCCGACCATCAGGCTTCTCGGTCCTTACGCAATTTTTGCTTAATTTCATTACGTAACAGTCGTCGTTTGTGGTCAAACTCACGGTTACCTGGAATAGACCGACGGGCTTCAATGAGTTGTAAGGAACCAGAAGAAACCTAGTGCTCATAAGCGGGACGTTTCGCGAAGCCGCAAGCGGCTTTACTCGCCATTTTGATGGCGTCATGAAGTTGCAACCAATGCTTATCTATACTTTTCGGTGGAATGGTAGCTAGCCTAAAAGCTAGCTCGGTTAGATACTTACTAGCAACAGAAGTTGCAACCAACTTGCTGACATCAATCATTTGGTGGCAGTCACTTCGTTGGCCACTGAAAAGTAAGGTAAGACTGACGCAGACCAGGGTACGATCAGAGTACAGATAGGTACTCCAAAAGGAGCGGCAGTCTTGTACACAACCACGCTGGCGGTAGCTGATCGCGATGTGATCAATATGAGTCCAGGCTTGAGATGCAGAGGGAGGACGCCAGGTGGCACATCGGCGATGACTGTGACGAAAGTTAGTGCTATCCAGAAACAGGTTGTGCTCTGTGCACAGTTGCAGTAGACGGTCTCCGTTATCTGTCCTGCGACCAAGAAGTCCCCATCAGCCACCTAAATGATCCTCTTCTGTGCCTAGACACCTGACCTGAGCATTCAAGTCTCCGGCTAGTACTACAATATCTGTCGAACGCACTTTTTGGAGAACAGTTAACTGGTGATAGGATTCATCCCTGATTGCATCCGAGCTGCAATCTGTCGGGGAATAGGCGGAGGTGACGAAAAGACATCGTTTCTCACGTCGATTTCTTCTCACTTTGGTGGAACTTTCTAATCTAACAGCACATAACCGACTGTTAATGGAGATTCAATCGATTAGTGGTGCCTCAGCTTTAGCGCTTAGTGCGACACCAACGCCAGCAAGACTAGACGAAGATGCCACAGGGTCCCCGGATAAGCGCACGTAAAACAAGCTTTTTGAAGCGACAGATGGAGATCGAATTTGTAGTACTTCGCCAGAGTCTTGAATACGGGTCTCGGATGGACAAGAAACATCAATATTAAGACTTTCCAAAGACGTAGCCAGCCCTATCTGTTGTCCGACCTGCATAAGTGTGCGAACGTTGGAGGCAGCCAGTTTGAATGGTGCACGTGGTTTCAGAAAAACTGCTTCAGTATTCGTACTTGGTGGTAGCATACAACTTTCAACCAGGCAGTGACTCGAGAACGTTTAGATAGAACCGAGTTTCCACCATAGGCGAGCTGCCGTATAAGTCGAAAAATAAGGATACATAAAGTGGGAATAAAAGGGAGTGAATAAATGACACAGTAAGCAATAATAATAGTAATAATAAGTGTGAATTGTTTGACTGTAGATCAAAGCGAGAATAGAATTTTCAGTAAATATCATCATTTTCATCTTCAATTTATTTGTGTGTGGGCTGTGATACTACCCGGGTGCCCAAACCGAAGCAGGTAGTTTTCTTGGGGGGCCACACCCGGAGCCTTTGACCTAAAGGTCTAACTCACAAGGCAATGGAGCATCGTGAGGAGATGCATTCCCATGGTAGCCGGTGACCAACGATTGGTTCATACTCTGTTTGTTCCCTCAGGATACTGGAGCCCATGTGCACCATTGGTTTGGGATCCGGTTAAAGCGCCAGACATTCGCTTTCCGTCCTCTCATTTTCGTACACAACACCCCGCCACGAGAAAGCAGTGAGTAGGATTGCCCTGATAGAGGCTGTATACGCGTGGCCATATGAGAGTATTTCGAGATGGAGAGCGGACTCTCGGCCATACCAGGACATTTGGGGGCAAGTAACGTCTTAAAGATTAAGTAGTCACATCATGACAAACGTACAATTTCGGGATTGGGTCGGCTATTATGGTAACGCAGATAAGTGTACTGAAATCGAAAAAGACCACAAATCTACAGATGGACTACATTATTAACGTCACATAAGCTCGCAGCATATCTATCTGGAACTAAAAACAACTGTCAACCAACATCAAAATCAGAATTTTTAAAACAAATGTCAAGACAGTTGTACTGTATGGGGCGGAAACTTGGAGGACTATGAAAGCAATCATCCAGAAGATACAAGTGTTTATTAACTGCTGTTTATGCAGAATACTTCGGATCCGTTGGCCAGACACTATCAGCAACAATCTGCTGTGTGAGAGAACAAACCAGATCCCAGCGGGAAGAATTGCTAGAAGTGGATGGGACACATACTGAGGAAAGCGCCCAACTGCGTCACAAGACAAGCCCTCACATGGAACCTTCAAGGTTAAAGAAGTGGAAGACCAAAGAAAACATTACGCCGAGAAACGGAGACAGACATGAGAAGAATTAACAACAGTTGGATAGAACTAGAAAGGAAGGCCCAGGACAGAGTGGGTTGGAGGATGCTGGTCGCCGACCTATGCTCCACTGGCAATGACAGGCGTAAGTAAGTAATAATCTTGAAGAGGGTAAGTAAAATGATAAATAGCCACTAATTTCGTGTTCTGACACTAATTTTGATATGCCTACAATCTGGTATGATCCCATACTTATCTGCTGAATTCTTACTGGAACATTTATTCAGACGGTGTATATGCTTGTGTTATGGTTTACTATTATTCATGAACAGTAAACGGATTCTAGTTTTTTTGAAATAGTGAATTGCTGTCTGACAAATGAACAAAGCGGTAATTCAGTGACTCGGTATCTAACTCAAATTAGACCTTATGATGATTGACATTGAAATATACATCCCAGCTAACCTCGTATACCTTTATCGACCTAATCTGCGTAAGTGAATAACGAAGTTAGATAAGCCAGATACGAGAATGGATTTTGAATACGTATATTTCATGCACTCATTGTTTTAAACAGACAATCAGTGAGACAAAATGAAAGAAGCAAAGAGGAGAGAGCGAAGTGAGACGAAAGGATGCGCGGTGGAGAAGGCAAGTGGGTCAACTCGATTTCACCAAACGCGACTCGATATTTATATTCAAATAAAAATAAATTATAGACATGTGATGAGTAGAGGAAATCAGCATTAATAAACAATTAATTGATAAGGTCAAAATGTTGCAAGTAGAATGAATAGATTGGCTTGTCCGGAAACTAGATCAACCCATGTGGGCTTGGCATAGCACCAGCCAGTACAGTACAATAGGGTCGAGTGATATCTATTAGCGAGGCAAGATTAACTCAAACTACCACATGAACTGGTGCCAAAGATAGGAAAATATAATCGCTGAAGAAAAGTAGTTCAGGTAAAGCTAAGAACAAGACTTCGCATAAAAAGCACAGCTGGCAACAAGATAGGAACTCAACGGAAACAGTATAATATTAAAATAAACAGCAATATGAGTCAGCCGAAATGTTCCTTTAAACGTCTTAGCTGCCTGTTGAGATCAAGAAGAGTCCAACCGGATGTGACAGAATCAGTAAACTCCGCCTGCTTGAAATCAATGCTAGATTAAGTTTCCGTAGATGTACAATGCTAAGAGACACCCATCGATATGGGATTTTAAAGATATCCTTAAAGAACAGCTTGTATGACGTCTATACACTTGAGTCCTACGGATTTTAATGAAATTTAAAAATAATGTTCGTTATGTGTTTGAACAAGGAATATAAGCAGAAATCAAACTTTTGGGATTTCTTAAGTCCTAAGAGAAAGTCCAGCTGAACAATAGATTGTACGCTGCGATGGTTAAGCGAACTTTAGGACTTTCGCCTAGTCTACTCCCAACATTTCATAGTACTCTAGAAGTAGATAGTGATACCCACGGATTTTTCTCATCAATACCAACTAGACAGTGTCAAGACAGATTGGAACATTGTATGCATCTGAAAAACTGAATCCATTGCTTGAGATTCAAGTTTTAATTGAAGATGCTTGGAATCAGATACGGTATAACATCCGAAAAGTGAAAACCTGTGTGTAAGTCATAGTGTTGTTTCAGGAGTAGTAATTCGTGGGCGATCCGTCCTCTGTAACAGCCATTAAATGAAAATTTATCGTAACCGTAGGGTATATTGAAAGAACACAAAGATTGTTAATGAAAAGAATCCTTTTTGTGATGATGAAAATGTGGAGATAAATACCAATGACTGACTACCAGGATACCGACTTAGCAGACATTGTGAAGTGTCCGTATAACAAAACAGGTGAATATTAAGCAACTCAAGAGTCCAAGAGACTTTCTTCAAGACTAGTGATATGAAGTTTTTTGATGGAAGTGATAAATGAGAAGTTCCGTCTATGTGTTGGGTCCTACAACGAGCAAAAATGGATGCTTCATCTCGCAAAATGAATCAACAATACAGCCGTATTGTACATTTGAGCTAACTATTACGGAGTCATGACATTAGCAAGACAGTAACATGACTGTTTTCTAACCGCCTTTACGATGCAAACTATTTTCAGTACAGGAGTTGTAGTATAGTTTTACTCTTAATTCTAAAATCCTATGCTTCCAAATTAGCCACTTTTAAGACGGCTTGAACAGAATGTTAAGACCTCAGAGAGCAAATATTCAAATAACGTTTGGTTGGGTCCTCAAGATGGGCAAGACAATAACAACAGTCTGAACTCAGTTCAAGAGCTTATTTCCAGGAACATGTGAGTTACTGAGGTGATAGTAACTTGATTAGTCTTAAGTAATAAGATGTCTGATTGCTTAAATATCTGGACTCATTTACATATCATTATTACGCTTGGTAAGCAATTAACTTTACAACCACCCGTTACTTGAAACTTGCCTGATTCACAGAAGTATAGTATCCCAAACTGATTACAGAAATTTGATGATCTTTACATTAGCCATTATAAAAGATTTCCGACTTGTTAATTATGGAGCTAAACTCACTTTAGGATATATAGAGTGAAACCTACATTGAGAAATATACAAACAACAGTAGACTTGGAACTATCGCGAAAGATAAGGTCAATTGTTTCATTCCTCAAAATGGAGGAATATGTTGTCTGACTATGTAAACTAGCACTGCATAAAATTTAAATGATGTGGATGAATAATTAGTCACACTAACCGTGTAATTATCCAGCATCTTCAAAACTGTGGCATGTCTCCAACGTAGATCATCAGGAAGTTTGCGATTGATTAGCTTGACTTCAATCCCTTCCGTCATCCAGTAATCTCTTCGATTTCTCTTGTCTTTAAGAGCTTCTTCTTTTTCCATTAATTCATCCAAGGCACGTCGACGAACTCCAGAAACTGCTGTAGTACGTGTGTCTTGCTTCTTTTCAGAACTAGATTTGGATTTTTCTTCACGTGCTTTTTTCTCAGCAATCAAGAGTGGATTCTGAAAGTCAAAGTGTGTAAAATGTTAAAACGGTAAAACTGCAACAACACCACGATCGCAAGTGTAGAAATTAAGTCTAAAAGTTGAAGTCATTATCAGAAGAAACAAGATACTTGCTTAAAATTCAGCTTCAACAAAACCTGATGAGAAGATAAAATACACTGAACTATGACTTCGATCAACTGAAGTGACAACCACTAGTATTAAAGAGAATAGGATTGCTTACTGCAGTTCTTTCCTTTTTCGGACCCAACGTCATAAGACTTTGAGTAGGTTTTTCCTCCGAAGAACTTGGGGAAGGATCAATCTCTGTGCTCATCACCTGGACAGGTGGCTTTTTTTGAGACAAAGAAATCTCCAATTTAATTGGTTCATCTTCATTGGTGCGGATGAGAGGAGTGTATACGGGACCTTCCGTTTGTTCAACTTTGTTGATATTGTGTTCTATTTGACGCTCTACAAATCAATACAGTTAGCAATCACGAGTTTACCTAGAAACTGTTTGTTGATTTCATCTTCTGTCTTTTCCAAACGCTCACTCTGTTCTTGTTTTTTCAACTTTTCTGGGTCGCGATCGATGTATTCGATAAACCACCCTTTCTCAGTTTCATCTACCTTGCAAATTCCCTGTTTTCCAAGCCACATGCACAGTCCTGTAAGTGTATGCCATCTCGTCGCATTCATATGTATATGTTCTTTGTCTTTGATATATTCTTGATAAACGACATTGGAATGCACGCGTTTCCCACCAAACTGTCGACGTAGTATGTCGAGGTATCCTTTCAAAAAATCAGAAGAGAAACTGCTGATGAACTTTCCACCGTCTTCGGCAAAAAGTTTCATTTGCCTGTGGTGGGACTCCGACATCGTATGGCATTTGTAACCATTCTTAAAATTAACGTCGGAAAGTAGCAGGTACTTACTTCATCTCTGCACTGTTTTTGACACATCTGACAGTACCATCGCAGTTTTTGCAGTCCCTTCGATTTGATTCTGTTTGATATAGCTTTTGGAGTTAGGAAACCTGGTTTTTCTTTTGTCATCTTACAGCCCTCCAAGGAACGGACCTGGTTACACAAGGTTAGATATTTCGAAGGTCAATGTTGGTTAAATACCCAATATCTTTTTCGGTGCACAGGTTACGGAGTAGATTCAACAGGTACAAAGGATATGATTCAAGTGAATTCGCCTCAAACCAATGAGGTTGTCTTACCGAATTGCCGTCACATTTCTGATGCCTAGTTATTCATGCACACTAATATAAAACATTTAATGGAGTTATTTATGAATTTATTACACATTCTACATATAAACTGGAGAAGGAAAATGACTAAGAGAGTATCACGGATAATGAATTCTAAATTTTTCGATTTTAGGGGAAGCCAGTCTTGTGTGTTTCTACAGTGCCTCAGCTGGATTCAACCAGTGAATCTGGTCTTCATTGTAAGCTTCATACTCATGTTTCAGTGTACAAATCGCAGACAGTTAGTTCTCGAAGACAAAGTTTCGTGGTTTGTATGAGTCCTTTTGCACCTGAATTTCTTACGTGGATGATTTGCCTCGAAAGACGTAAAATCACCCTTGATCTTCTGTAAGCGAAAAAGGCTCATATAACGAAAAGTGAGTAAATATATTTGGTCCTTTAGGTGCGACCTGCCCTTCATCATACGGACCCATGAATCAAGCCGAGGGATCAGAGCGATACATTATGAATAATATAGACTTGGGTACCGTAATTCAACTCATATTTAGAGGTAAATAAATCACCAGGTTAAATAGTTATTTGTATCTTTGACATTGATGCTGACCTCACTATCGCCAACTTCATTTTCTATCTCTTTTGTTGGTATAAGAGGTGTATGTCTTATGAAGAAACGTTCTGCAATAACATTGTGAAATTCAAGGTGGGGCCGAGAGTAAGCTTTGAAAGGTGTTAGGAACAATTTTGGTTTGATTGTGCCGAGTTGTCTTCGCGTAAAGTGGAGAATTGAGTTTGCTTTTGTCACATCCTCCATATAGTTCGAGCGGGTATCTGAGCTCTCCATGATTACAAGCTAACAGTTTTAGCTATTACACTTAGAATCATAAAATACAAATTTCTTTACGCGATACTATTTTTATTAAAAGTTTTCGGTAGTATCAACAAGCTTTTCGACGTAGCAGCCTATATATATATATACATTGTAGCGGTAAATAAATCCCCAAAATAAATAGCACTAAGTTTTCGACATTGGATGCTGACCATATGTTTTAGTGGACTCATCTAGCTGAAGGCGCTCGGTCAGGCATCTGCACCAGATCACGTGTGGTAACGCCGTGCTCAACATCAACCGCAATCGCTAGCCAGATTAGATCAGAGAATTCCGATATATTGGTCATCGCCAAATATACTCTTCCGATCTCCTCGACTCTGTCTTTTGATTTCTCTGGGCGGGAACGAAATATATTAGAAGGTGTTACTGGTAGAAGCGTTGTCAAACACTGAATACCTGTGACATCATCATTGGTGAAACCGACGTGATCTGGTACACCTAATTGCAACTGTGAGTCTGTTCCTTTTTGGGATTTTTATATATCATTGCCTTATTTTTTTACATTTTTTTGAACATTGTGATTTTTTTTCGTATTTTTTCCTGGATATATATATTTTCCCCTCGTTATTATCATAATTCATACTTCATCATGACTGAACAGACACCTAAAGTACTCAAGCTTAAGACTTTGTCCCCGCCTTCGTTTCAACTGATGCCTTTCTGGCCCGACAACATCGAAGCCTGGTTTTGCTACGCAGAAGCCGACTTCTCCGAGCACGGCGTGATCGACACACGTGCACAATTCCTCGCAGTAGTCAAGGCACTACCGCGCGAATTCAACAGGTGCGTAACACCTAGTATGTTTACTAGTGATGTTTCCGATCCTTACGAAATCTTAAAACGCTCGATTCTTAAACGAGGAGACACAACCGATCGACAAAGGTTAGATCAACTCTTCAACAATATCGACCTGCAACACGGTTCTGCGACAGACATGTTGCAACGGATGAGAGAGGTAATAGGCCCAAGAACTTTCGACGAAGGTCTATTCAAACAACTCTTCTTGTCAAAACTTCCCCAACAGGTGCAAGCAGTTCTGGTCTCGTTCCAGAACAACGCCTTAGACGAGCTAGCTGCATCTGCCGACCGCATTTAGAAATTACGAAATCTACTACCGAGGTATTTTCAGTCAAAGAAAAACCTCAAACGACTCAGAATGATATAAACGACTTATGTCACACACTCACGCGTTATCTTAGTCTTCGTACCGACCGTAAGAGATCGCGCACACCACGTAGAAGCATTTCTCGTAAGCGATCTGTCTCTAGACCACGAGAGACAGATAACCCCGACTGGTGCTGGTATCATAACCAGTATGGAAAGTTTTCCAGAAATTGCAGAAAACCCTGCAATTTTCCCAACACGAAACCGACTGATTCGAAAAGCAATTCGGGAAACTTCCAAGCCGGCACGCGTTAACGGCAACCGTAGCCGGCGAACAAAGCCGTCTGTTATTCGTCACAGATGTGACAACGAGAGTTCGTTACCTCGTCGACACTGGCGCAGAAGTTAGCGTTCTCCCAGCAAATCCCAACGACTGGCTTCACGAATCGGTTTTAGACTTACAGGCGACAAACGGAAAACCGATCGCTACGTATGGCAAAAGGTACGTTTACCTTAACGTGGGTTTACGCAAACCCATCCACTGGATTTTCGTTGTTGCAGATGTTTCTATGCCAATCATTGGTATGGACCTTCTACAACACCACAATCTGATCATCGACACGCGCAAACGGAGGCTAGTAGACGGAAACACTAATTTGTCCGTTTGCGTAACTTCTTTACTGGTTGTAGAGTATCCCCAGTCACAGTTAAACATATGATAGACCCACTCTATCAGCCACTACTCGATAAGTACCCTGGGATACAACAAACTCAACCGAAACTACCGTGTGTAACCAGCAATGTTACACATCACATCACGACTACAGGACCACCTGTATTCTCTAAAGCACGACGACTAGCTCCGGAAAAGCTAAGGTTAGCGAAAAACGAATTTGATCACATGATGGACTTAGGAATCATACGACCGTCAAGTAGCCCATATGCATCTCCGTTGCACATGGTCCCTAAAAAGGACAGCAACGATTGGCGTCCAACTGGTGACTATCGGCGATTGAACGCGAAAACCATTCCCGATCGTTACCCGTTGCCTCACATTCACGATTTGACAGCTACCTTGAAAGGTACAACTGTCTTTTCGAAAATCGACTTGGTTAAAGCGTATAACCAAATCCCTATGGCTACTGACGACATACCGAAAACAGCTATCATAACTCCTTTCGGACTCTATGAATTTTTGCGAATACCTTTCGGTCTAAGGAATGCTGCTCAAACATTCCAAAGATTCACAGAGGACGTTTTTCGAGGTCTCAACTTCGTACACGCGTATGTTGACGACTGTCTAATCGCAAGTCCGGACAGAGAAACACATCTCAAGCATCTGGATCTTGTTTTCGAACGACTTCAAAAACATGGCATAACTGTAAACGTTCAGAAATGCCAATTCGGAACCGACTCGTTAGACTTCCTAGGACACACTATAGATGCTCAAGGCATTCGACCCCTTAAGACCAAAGTAGCGGCCATTCTGGATTATCCAGGACCGACCTCGATCAAGCAATCACGAATGTTTAACGGCCTTGTAAGTTTTTATAGACGTTTCAAACCGAAATGCGCATTACTCATGAAACCTCTGACCGACCAACTTCGTGGAAATGCGAAATCCATTAATTTGGACGACACCGCACGAAAAGCATTCTCCACAGTTAAGGAACTGATTGCTAAAGCAACGATGCTCGCACATCAGGACACCCGAGCACCCATTAGCATCGCAGTAGACGCATCCGACTCGGCAATCGGAGGAGTCTTACAACAATGGGTTAACAACTCCTGGCAACCCTTGGCATTTTTCTCTAGAAGGTTGCTAGACACCGAATCGAGGTACAGCACATTCGGTAGGGAACTCCTAGCTATGTATTGTGCTGTACGGCATTTCCAACACTACATCGAAGGTCGTGAATTCACTCTTTTCACGGACCATAAACCTCTTACTTTCTCGTTAAGCTCCTCTTCAGACAAGTACTCTCCCGTGAGTCTCGACAACTGGACTACATTTCGCAGTTTACTTCAGATATTCAACACATCTCTGGAGCAAACAATGTAGTTGCAGACGCTTTATCTCGTATAACTTCCTTGAACAGTTTCCAAGGAATCGACCTTCTTAAACTCGCCGAGCTTCAAAAAGAAGACACTGATCTTCAGCACGAGTTATCGTCCACAACACTTAAACTACGCATCAAACAGATGGGAACAGGTAGGGAAACCTTACTTTGTGACACATCTACAGGTAGGGATCGCCCAATCGTGCCGAAACATTATCGACGCAATGTCTTCAACACATTGCACAAACTTTCGCATCCAGGTGTTCGTGCAACCATCAAGCTTATAGCAGAAAGGTTTTGCTGGCCTGGAATGAATAAAGACGTGAGGGAGTGGGCACGCTCCTGTGTAAGCTGCCAAAAATCTAAGGTTATCAGACACAATAAATGTCCCTTAGGCTCGTTTAAAACTCCCGATGCTCGTTTCGACCATGTTCATCTGGATTTGGTAGGACCTTTACCAGATTCAAATGGATACTCTTATCTCTTAACCTGCGTAGAACGTTTCACTCGATGGCCAGAAGCACTACCTATCAAGAACATCACTGCTGAAACAGTGGCTCGCACCTTCGTCGAACGATGGGTAGCAAACTTCGGCTGCCCTTCAACCATCACTACAGACCGCGGACGTCAGTTTGAATCCGATCTTTTCCGTCGTCTGACCACACTTTTAGGAATCACTCGCTTCCGAACGACCGCCTACCACCCACAAGCAAACGGGTTGGTAGAACGTTTTCACCGACAACTGAAAGCTTCGCTATCAGCTGCAAACGTTTCACAGTGGACCGACGCTCTTCCACTCGTCTTACTAGGTATCCGCAATGCAGTGAAAGCTGAC